TTGCTCCCACATCTCAGACACTATTTGTTTTTCTGCACTTACTGATGACATCACACGTCTGAACTCTGACCTCCTGGAGCTAGTAAACTACAAAAGTTAACTAGAAATGTGTCCAAAAACAAAACACAATTAAATAAGAATAGTCTTTAAAAATTTTCCCAACGATTCAGAAAAATGTAAGTTTTATAAGTACTTTTAGAGCGCAACACCCTCCCCCACAAAAGAAAAATGTTGCCACACATTTTCTTTCTAATCTTTGACAATTTACCAAAAATAGAACATTTAACCGAAGATGAGCGAGCAAACAATTCCATTGCTGGACATTTGGCTGGCCTAGTTTTTCATATGTGTAGACACGCCGGGGCTGTCTCATTCTCTTTGGCTTGTGCCTCCATGTCTCAGCCTCACTCTGCTCACTCTCGGGTCCAACAGCTGGAGCTTCAACCTCCTCCTCCAAACTGCGTCTCTCCTCCACCTGTTCCTCTTCAGGATGCCCCTCTGCTCTGAAAGCAGGCTCAGACTTCTCTCCGAGTGCGTCACTCCGGGGGCAGAAATCCTCTGCTTCTGGGTTGAGGGGTGGATCGGCATATCTGAGTGCTGTCCACATGTGACAGTCATCTTCACTAGAACTGCCTGTGCCCGTTTCGTCAGTATCGGGCTTGGTCTGATGATGTCTTCTTGCTGACTGCCTCCGTTTGTTTCCACGGCTTTTCTCTTTCAGGCTGCTTTTGCACACCCCAGACTCGTCAACCAGGTAAGGACACGGCAACAGTAGGTTACGGTGTAACACTCGTCTTCTTCCTGTCCCCTGCAGTGGCTCAACCACGTACACTGGACTATCAGGACCTTTCCTTTCGGTGATGACATGAATCATATCCTCCCAATAGCTGCACAGTTTCCCAGGACCTCCTCTGGGTGTGAGATTTCTCACCAAGACATGGTCACCTGGCTGAAGCACAGAGCTCCATGCACGTTGATTGTAGTTTTTCTGTCCCCTTCTTGCACTCTTTCTCATGTTCTGCCTCGCAATTGCGTAGACCTCTTGCATAACTCCTCTCCATTTCTCTGCATAGCTAATATGTGATTGACTCTTCTCTTCTTCTCTTTTTGGGAAGAACAGGTCGATAGGCAAGGTTGGTTCATGGCCAAAGAGAAGGAAGAATGGAGAAAATCCTGTTGCTTCGTGCACAGTCGAGTTGTAGGCATGAACTACTTTGTTCAAATGGTCTTTCCATCTTGACTTCTGAGATTCATCAAGTGGCCGGAGCATACCTAGGAGTGTCCTATTGAAGTGCTCTGCAGGATTGGTCTGTGGGTGATACGGGGAGGTATGAGAATGGCTGATACCGCAGTAGCCTTGAAGCTTGCGGAAAAGATTATTCTCAAATTCTTTCACCTGGTCATGGTGTATTTTGGATGGGAAACCGAAGCGCACAATAAAGTCATCAAAGAGCTTTCTTGCCGCAGTCTTCCCAGACTTGTCCTTTGTCGCATATGCCTGGGCATATTTGGTGAAATGATCCACAACTACGAGTATGTATTCCTCACCTCCTGTGCACTTGTCCAAATGCAGATAGTCAATGGATATCATCTCAAACGGCGCAGAGGTTTCAATGCTCTGAATTGGTGTTCTGGTTATTCTGTTAGGTTTCTTCTTCTTTATACAGCGACACACCTGAGTGACATAGTGCTCCATTTCCTGCCTCATTTTAGGCCAGAAGAAGCACTCCCTGGCGAGAGCAACCATCTTGTCTGCGCCTAAATGACCCATCTCCTCATGTAGATGTTTATAGACCATGGGCTTTAATGAGTCAGGAACAACTAACTGTTTTCTCCTGGTGGTCTTATACCTCAGAATGCCATCTCCATCAATCTGCAAATGGGGCCAGAAGGTACCTAACTGCCTCACTCTCCGCCATCTTTTCTTTATGCTTCAGGTAGGTGTGTGTTCTTTTCAGGGACAAAACTCGGTTTATGGCTATGTCTGCATCCTGGGCTTCCCTGATGTCGTCAACTGCAAATGGCGGAATTGGTTCTGAGATGATGCATCCCTCTGGAAGCGTGTTGACATTACAGGTGACAGCTGAGATCCAATTCACGTCTCCTGTTCTCTCTCTCTCTAGAGCTTTCCCAATACATTCAATGGCATCCTGCTGACATTCCTCTGTGCATTCCTGCATGATGTCTTTAATGGGCTTTCCTCTTCTTGATAAGAAATCTGCATCTCGATTTGCTGCCCCTGGCCTGTACTTAAGAGTGAAAAGTTTCGCTGACTTCATGACGTATGTCAGCGGGTTATTGTCACTGTACACAGTAAAATGAAGTGCATGAAACAGATAATCATGAAAGCGTTCTGTTATGGCCCATTTCAGTGCCAGGAATTCCAGCTTGCCTGAATGTAGCTTGTAGTTTTTTTCTGCAGTTGCCAATGTCCGTGATCCATAGCCTATGACTCTCAGGGCAGTCCCTTGATGCTGGTACAAGACTGCACCCAAACCATCCTCAGAGGAATCTACATGAAGAACAAATGGCTTCTCTAGGTCCGGATATGCCATGATTAGTGGGTTTGTCAGCTGATTTACTATTATGTCCAATGTCTCTTGGTGAACCGTCATCCACTGGATTGGATGGGATGATGGCAGCTGGGCAGATTTGCGGTGGCACTCCTTACTCTTTCCATGCTGCTTGTGTTCAGACTTAGGCTTTCCTAAGAGTTCATAGAGGGGTTTGGCTGTCCTTGAGAAGTCCTGTATGTAGGGTCTGTAGTAGGGTCTGTAGTAGCTAAGGAAACCCATTCTCACCTCTCTCACGGTCGATGGTTTCTCCTGTTTCAGTGCTTGCACTGCTTCAACTTCTTTGGGGGGTCATCTTGTATCCCTCTGCAGAAACCACTCGCCCCACATAGCAGACCACGTTTGAAAAAGTCACACTTCTGTGGCCTTAATTTGATACCACATTCTCTTTGTCGCTGTAGCACTCTCCTCACATTTTGGATGTGTTGTTCGAAGCTTGAGCTAAAGACGAGTACATCATCCAAATATGGGACACACATTTCATCCCTGAGGTCTCCCAGGCATCCCTCCATGTAGCGCTGGAATGCTGCTGGGGCATTAGTAAGGCCGAATGGGACCCTCACCCACTCATAGAGTCCCAATGGTGTTATAAATGCAGTACAGGGTCTGCTGTTCTCACTCATGAAACCCTGGTGATAAGCCTTTCCCTGGTCCAATACTGTGAACCAGGAGTTGCCCCCAAGGTTTTCCAGGATCTCCTGTATTCTCGGGATGGGATGTCTGTCGGCCAGTGTCTTTGCATTCAGGAGCCTATAGTCTACACACAAGCGAAGTCCACCATCTTTCTTCCTGACGCATACCACAGGCGAAGAATATGAAGAACAAGATTTTTGGATCCAGCCCCGATTGAGTAAGTCTTGTATGTGTGCTTTTTGTCACGATGAGTTGTGTGGCTGTCGGTGGCTGGACCCACGTGCAGGACTCGGAGACAAAACATTAACTTAAACGACGGCTTTATTTGCTGGAGAGTCACCTTTGGACGATACATAAACAACAACTTAAACTAACTAGACAGGAGATGCTGAAGGTAGACGACCATGGATACACACACAACAAACGTG